ACTCGTTTTTGGGCAAACCTTACCTTTTGACATCAATAGTCATTTGGCGACTGACTAAACTGATATTTGAATATTTTGCAGTTAAATTTGGAAGATTTTCGGGCCATTGTATGTCGATGCAACATGATGCAAGACACTGGAAACAGCTGACATGCGTTTTAAAGTCATCCTGAGCAAAATTTTGAGAAAAGTCTTTTGCAGTATTTAGCTTCAGCTTGCAGTTGCCCTTGCGTAATAAATTACCTGCAAGTGTATATCTGACGAAATTACAATCCATGAGAGAAAATTACGATCGATGGTGGATGGTCAATACAAAGTGTAAGGATTTAATGGTGGAGAGGAAGGAAGAGGGAGGATTTACTTGTAAAATGTTAGGTCTCTTTCTTTTTATTCATGGGATTGGGATTTTTTATGTTATGGTTCATGTTTAAATTCATTTACAATTTTCAGACTCAAATTCCAGATAGACTTGATTATTTGAATGGAAAAAAAAAATCAAATTTGCCCATGGCCGGTTCAAAAATTATTCAAATACTAAATATTTTGTAAATATTTGGGAGTTAATTGTATCTGAAGTTAAATTTATGAATGCCATTTAATATTTGATTCAATATTCAGTTAGTGTTAGTTTCGTATTAAAGACCGATCATCACAAACATTACTATATGCAGTAACTTTAGCACTTCAACCATTATCATACTATATGGGTGTGCAAATTTTTTATTTTTTGCCTGAGACCACTGCAAAAAGAATATTTGATAATAAATAACTCCAACATGAGCCACCATATTTAATGTATTTATTACTATGACAACATCAACAAATAGTTAAATTTTTAAATCAAAAACTGAACGAATAATCATATGAACAACTATCGAATTATGTGAAGATACCATATTCAAGTTCCAGGCCGGTGCTTGTGCGGACCAAGCCCGAAATCCGATTGCAGATACGGGTCGATATCCACCCTATCCGAATCCGATCCTTTTACTGCGCCTAGCCTGTACAAATGGAACCGAGCCTACCTCTCTCTCTCTCCATCTTCATAATTCTCTTTGTTGGGCTTATCGGATCCGGAAAAAGAGAAAGGCCCGAGCTCGCAATGGGTGGCCATGGAGGTCTAAACATCCTCCCTCAAAAGCGATGGAACGTCTACAACTTCGACAACCGCGAAAAAGTTCGCAAAGACGAAGAAGCGGCCGCGGGCGAGGAGCAGATCAAGCGCGAGGAATCTCGCCGGCGGGAATTCGAATTCCGCCTCCAAACCCTCCGCAGAGCCCGCAACCCTCAAAACCCTAATAATCCCGATCCTGAGCCCTCTTCATCCGACCACATCACTAACCCTAATCCCTCATCATCCGACCACATCAACCTCTTCGAGAACCTCTCCGACTTCTCCTCCCTCGGATCTGGCGGCAAAAACGAGGAGAAAGGTAAGTTTGGAAGCTCTGATGGCGGCGGCGATGAGAAGAGGAGGAAGAGGAATGAGAAGCCGGCAAAGGCGGCGGCGGCTGTGGTGATAACGGCGGAGGATGAGAAGTATAGGTTAGGGTATGGATTGACGGGTAAAGGGGTGAAGAAGCCTTGGTATTTGACAACGAGGGATGAGGGCTTCGATGGTGGTAGTGGTGGTGGTGATGAAAGGGAGAGAGTCTCGAAAAGGGAGAAGAAGAGCAGTGGGGGGAAGAAGAGCATCGAGGAGCTGAGAGAGGAGAGGATGAGGAGGGAGAAGAAGGAGAAGGAAAGGGAGCGGGCACTGCTTCGCAATTCGAATGAGGGAGAAAAAGGTTTTTCAAGGTAAGGTATTGGAGACAAGCTGCATCTTTAATTCTTGGTGGGGGTGGGGGGTGGGGGAAGGATTCCTTTGCTTTTGTATGGATAGAGTTTTATTGTTTATGTAGTTGACATTGCACAATTGGATTTCGGTCTATTAGTTTTGTACTATCTAATCTATTGAGCTTTATGGCAGGCGAAGGATGTGAATTGATAGCTTATTGAAGAGGACGGAGGACGCTTGGCCAGAACAAGATTTTCTTGCGGTTAGTACTTTGCTATAGACTTGCAACATTAATTGTGAAATTACTCGAATCGTGTTTTCTTTATTCTTACACGATCACCTCAATATTGATCCAATTCTTTAATCTATGTACTTCGCGACAAAGTGGAAATTGAGACTTGAAGTAAATGTCATGTACCTTTGATATGCAGCCCATGAATAGTAGAGTTTTTCTTTTAAATATAATCATGAGATAGTAGTAACCCTAAAAAATTGGATGTTGTATCTTTGTTTTCATAGCGAAATTATTGGATAGATATATCAACCTTGGTGTACGTCTTCTGTGAGTAATCATATATGATTTGTCATTCTTGTGTGTTTAGACAATATTTAGGGATTTCATACTTGCTCCTGTATTTAACTTGAAGAGTTGGTATAGGTTTTAAGTGCATTGCTCAATAATCTAAGAGGATTACAGTGATTGTCGGTTGGGCCAGGAGATTCCTATCACGACCCAATTTAGCTTAAGAAAGTGCTAATCTATGTTGCATGGGTACTAGTACAGGTATCGATACAGATACAAGTATAGGAAACAACAAATTTGTGAAAGGTAGGGTGTGGGGACATGGTTATGCAAACATTTATATGTACATATATATACTATATATTGGAATTAATGATTTATAAGAGAACAAGGATGATAAATAAAATCCCTTCAATATTTTCATGTCACTTTTATCATGTGGATTATATATTGGAAAATCACTAGTTTTTTTATCTAGACATCCAAGCAACCCTTCAAAATTATAATTCAGAATTTGACTTGTCCAATGAGTTTCAAGAAGTGGATGTGAAGTGTAGGATATATGTCCAAAAGAAGTATGAGAACTATTTTAGATTAAAACATGTATTGTATAATCGAGTACATGCCCGAATAAATGTAAGCATATATGCAAGGAGTGTCCAAAGAGTTTGGTGTGTGTTAGGTAGGGGTACAACTTCAGATTAGAAGTACCCAGGTAACATAGGTGCTAATATATGTTTCCAATGGAGTCAGGTCATTTCCTTTCTCTTGTTCCTTGTCCAAAGGTTCCCATAACATTACCTATGATACAATTTGTAGCTAGTAGTCGGTGGATGTGCTAATGGTAGGTGTGCGAAAAATAGTAGTTGTCCAAAAGGGGATGTCATGCTTAAAAGGTAATTGGATTTGTAGACATGTCAAGTTCCATTTCGCATCCCATCGATACCTCAAGCAAGCTGGAGATATTGATTAGATCTGATTATGAAGCATGAGTTATTAAATAGTAAGATGAATAAAAGTTCACTATTTTAGGTGGAGAACAGAAGCAAGAATCATCTTTCTTCATCATCAATTGAATCATTGTAGACGGATGCATGTCTTGACAATTTGTGTCAAAGATAAGAATGAAGGAAGGATAAGAGGTGTACTTGTAGAATCTTCCGTTAGAAAGTTAAGAGACAAATAGAAAAGCTTGTGCAGAGATGGTTAAGAAAGGAAACAAGCATTCACAATCCATTTATCTCTAAAGTTCTTTTGTAAATTTTTTTTTATTCATTCAGAGATTTCAGAAAATAATAGAGCTTGATATATTCGTTAATTTATAGAAACCAAGAGTGTTATAGAATGTAGTAACATTTTTTGTCCTTTTCCCCCCATTTTGACCTAATGACAATTAAGTATGCATAGTTTAAAATTCCATGTTTTTGTGGGCTAACCCAAGATTTTTGTTCATTTTTATCTGTTTTAACTCAATGCCATATAATTCATTTTTTTTTTGTGGGTTAGAACACATGATTTTTTGTCTATTTCGATCTAATGACAAATAAGTACGCTTACTTCAAAATTTATAACATATGATTTTTGCCTACTTTAGTTCAAAATATGCATATTCAAAAAAATTATAATCCATGGTTTCATAGGCTTATAACATGTAATTTTTGTTTGCTATCCGTTTCGACCTTAATCGTGATAAAATATGCATATTTAAAATTCTCGATTTTCGTGGGCTACCCATGATTTTTATTATTTTTGTCTGCTTCAACCCAATAGGAATTAAATGTGTACATCAAAATTTACAATTTTATGAGCTGTAACCCACAAATTTTATAAAATTTTCCATTTCGATCTATTGATAATGAAGTGGCGTGGTTCAAAATTCTCTATTTTTATGGGCTATGATCTATGATTTTTATTCACTCTTATACGTTTCGACTAAATGTGATGGAGTTAAAATTTACAATTTTCATGTGCCATCCCTCGCTTGTCCATAAGTCCATTTTTGTTCGTTTTGATCATTATGTTAAACTCACTTCAAATTCACGATTTTTATGGCCTAAAACCCATGATTTTTGTCTTGTTTGCTTCAACCCAAAGGCGATTGACTGCACATAGTTCAAAATTCTCGATTTCATGAATTATATAACTTACATTTTTATGTTATTGTCCATTTCAACTAACCAATGATAAAATTTGTGTAATTCAGAATTCTCAAGTTTCATGGGCTAAACCTAAGATCTTAATCAATTTGTTTTTTCGACCCAATTAAAATTAAGTATATGTGCATTAAAATTTGCTATTTTATGAGCTATATAATCTATAATTTTTATTCGTTTCGGCTCAACAAAAATTAAGTATAATTTCTTCGTAATTCGGGACTTTCATGGGTTATATAACCTATGATTATTATCTTTTTCAACTTAAGAACAACTAAGTACACGCAATTCAAACTTCACAATTTCATGTGCTATATAACTCATCGTTTTTGTCTATTATTGTCCATTTCTTCTCAACAGTGATAGAATACACCTATTTGAAAATTCTCAATTTTCATGGACTACAAGCCACAATGTATTTAATCTTTTTTGTTTGTTTCAACTCAATGAGAATTAAATATGTGTACATGAAAATTTACGATTTATAGGCTATAATCTATAATTTTTATCCTTTTTCTTGTTATGATTCAATAGCAATTAAGTATGTTTATTTCAAAAGTTACGAATTTCATGGACTAAACCCACGATTTTTGTCTATTTTAACTTAAGGACAATTAAGTAACACATTAAAAATACGCGATTTCATGGTAAAAGCCCCCATGATGTTTTTCTGTTTTTTTCATTTCGACACAATAGCGATATAGTATGCGTATTTGAAAATTCTCAATTTTCATGGATTATATAACACGACTTTCAATCATTTTGGTTGTATCGATCTAATGAGAATTAAGTATGTGTACATCAAGCGATTTATGAGCTTTAATCTATACTTTTTATCCTTATTTTTCGTTTTGACTCATTGACAATTAAATATGTTTACTTTAAAATTCGCGATTTTCATGGACTATTAACATATAATTTGTCTATTTTAATTTAAGGACAATTAAGTACATGTAGTTCAAAATTCTCGATTTCATGGGCTATATTCCACGATTTTTGCTATATCCCACGATTTTTTCTGTTATTGTCCATTCCTACGCAAAATTTTTTGATTTTCATGGACTATAACACATAATATGTCTATTTTAAATTGAACTACATGGTGGTACAAAATGTGCGATCTCATAGGCTATATCCCACGATTTTTGTCTGTTATTGTCCATTTCTACGCAATAATGATAAAGTATGTGTATTTGAATATTATCAATTTTGACTTTATCCCATATTTTAAAATTATTTTTATTCATTTTGACCTAATGGAAATTAAATATGCATACACTAAGATTTGTGATTTAATGGGCTATAACTATAATTTTTATTTCGATTTTCCTTTTCGATTCAATGGCAATTTAGTCGTGTTTACTTCTAAGTTCGCGACTTCATGGACTATAACCCTCAATGTTTCTCTGTTTCAACTTAAGGACAATACCGTACACACAGTTTAAAATCCGTGATTTCATGAGCTATAATCGATAATTTTTGTCTATTATGGGGGACCATTTCGACTCAATTTGATAAAGTATGCTTATTTGAAAGTTCTCGATTTTCGTGGATTATAACCTATGATTTTTGATCTTTTTTGTCTGTTTCGATCCAATGGGAGTTAAGTATGAGTATATTAACATTTGCGATTTTATTGGCTATAATCCATAATTTTATTTTTATTTTTATTGTTTCGACCTCGTTCCAAGGGTACTTCTATCCTGAAACTGTACCTGTATCCATACCCAAACTCTTTGGACACTCCTTGCATACATGCATGCATTTATTTGGGGATGTACTTAAACAATACATGTTTTAATTTAGAACACTTGTCAGCTATTTTTTAGATGTATATTCTACACTTCATAATCAACTTCTTGAAACTCGTTGGGTTCAAAACTATGATGTTGTTTGGGTGCTTAGTTGAAAAAATGAGTGTTATAATCCACTTAATAAAAGAATATAAAAGCCAGGATTTTTTTCTGTTTCTTGTACCCATTCCCATACCAATGTTGGTATCCATGCAACATAGGTTTCGACCAATAATTTTCACAGATTATAACTCATTATTTTTATCTATTTCAACTTAAAGACAATTAAATACAAGTAGTTCAAAATTCGCGATTTCATGATAACCCACGATTTTTGTCTGTTATTGTCCATTTCGACTCAATGGTGATAAGCACGCATATTTGAAAATTCTCAATTGAGAATTTTTATGGACTATATAACTCAAACAATTTTTATCATTTTTGTTCGTTTCGACCAAATGAGAATTAAATATGCATACACCAAAGTTGCGATTTTATGAGCTTTAAACCTTTAGTACATAATTTTATTTGTTATTACACTTCGATTCGATGGCAATTAAATATGTTTTCTTCAAAATTCACGAATTTCATGGACTATAATCCAAGATGATTAAGTACACTTAGTTCAAAATTTGTCGTTTCATGGGCTATAACCTATGATTTATGTCTATTAATGTCCATTTTTACACAATGATGATAAGTATGCATATTTGAAAATTCTCGATTTTCATGAACAATAACCTACGGTTTTTGATCTTTTTTTATCCGTTTTGACCCAATGAGAATTAGGTATTTGCATATCAACATTTTTGATTTTATTGGTTATAATCCATAATCTTATCCCTTTTCACTTTTTTTATCCATAATTTTATCCCTTTTCATGAAATATAATCCACGTTTTTTTGTCTATTTCAACTTAAATACAATTAAGTACACATAATTCAAAATTTGTGATATTATGCGCTATAATCCATGACTTTTTTTGTTATTTCCATTTTGACTCGATGGCGATGAATTATGCGTATTTAAAAATTTTGGATTTTTAAGGAATCTACGATTTTTTATCATTTTTTTCGTTTCGACCAATTGGGAATAAGTATGTGTATATCAAAATTTGTGATTTTTTAGTGTTCATCCATAATTTTTATCATTTTTTCGTTAAGACTAATGGCAGTTCAAGTATCTTTACTTCTAAATTTGTGAATTTGATGAACTATAACTATGATTTTTGTTTATTTCAATTTAAAGACAATTAAGTACACATGGTTCAAATTTTGTGATTTCATGGACTATAAGCTACAATTTTTGTCTGTTATTGTACATTTTGAGTTGATGGCGATGAAGTATGTTTATTTTCAAATTATCGACTTTGATGGATTATAAACACGATTTTTTGATAGTTTTTAATTTTTTCGACCCAATAGGAATTAAATATGCATACATCAAATTTGTGATTTTGTGATTTTATGAGCTTTAATCCATAGTGTTTATTCTTTTTTTCCGTTTCGACTCAATGACAACTAAGTATGTGTACTTAAAAGATTCGTGACCTTAATGGACTATAATTTGTAATTTGTCTATTTTAATTGAAGAACAATTAAGTACATGTAGTTCAAAATCCGCGATTTTATGACTCATGATTTTTGTCAGTTATTTTCCATTTCTACTAAATGACGATAAAGTATGTGTATTTGCATTTTTTAAATCAATTTTGTCTGTTATAACTTGTGATGTTTTTATCTTTTTTCTCCATTTCAATCTAATGGAAATTAAGTATACATACGCTAAGATTTGCGATGTTATGAGTTATAATCCATATTAAATTTTTTTTTCCGTTTTGACTCAATGACAATTAAGTATGCTTATTTCAAAATTTACGACTTTTATGAGATTTACGACTTTCATGGACTATAACTGTTTTTTTTCTACTTTAACTTAAGGACAATCAAGTACACGGAGGTTCGAAATTCTCGATTTCATGGGGCTATAACTCATGATTTTTATTTGTAATTGTTCATTTCGACTCAATGATGACAAAATATGCTTATTTGAAAATTCTCGATTTTCATAGACTAATTTTTGCTCATTTTGTCCGTTTTGACCCAAGAGAATTAAGGACATATACACTAATGTTTGCGATTTTATGGGCTATTATCCCTTAATATTTATTTGTTTTGTTTCGTTTTGACTCAATGGCAATTAAATTGTGTTTATCTCGAAATTCGCGATATCATACGCTATAACCCACGATTATTGTCTGTTATTGTCCATTTTGACTTAATGGCGATTAAGTATATGCATATTTGGAAATTCTCGATTTTTATGGATTATAATTCATTTTTAAAACAATTTTGTACGTTTTGACCTAATGGGAACTCAATACACGTACATTGAAATTTGTATTTTATGTGTTATAATTCATAATTTTTGTCTGTTTCAACTCAATGACTATTTAGTGCTTTTATTTTAGAATCCGCGGCTTTCATGCACTAAAACCTATGATTTTTGTCTATTTCAATTTATTGACAGTTACGTACATGTAGGTCAAGCAGTGATTTTTTGGGTTGTATTCTGTGATTTTGTTTGTTATTGTCCACTATGCAATGGTGATGAAGCATACGTATTTGAAAATTCTCGATGTGCATGCATTATAATCCACAATGTTTTATCATTTTTTATATTTTGATCCAATGAGAATTAAATATGCACATAGGAAAGTTTGCATTTTATGGGCTATAATCCATGATTTTTTGTTTATTTCAACTTAAAGACAATTAAGCACTCCCAGTTCAAAATTCGAGATTTTGTAAATTATTACCTACGATTATTATTTGTTGTTGTTTGTCTTAACTCAATGGTGACAAAGTATGCGTAATTGAAAATTCTCGATTTTTATGGATTATAATCCACGATTTTTGATCATTTTTGTCCGGTTTGATCTAATGGGAATTCAAAATGCGTAGATGAAAAGTAGTTATTTTATGAGCCATAATCCATAATTTTTATCCATTCAACTCAGTAGCAATTAAGTATGATTAGTTCAAAATTCGGGAGTTCTGTTGACAGTAACCTTTGATTTTTGTCTATTTCAAACTTAAGGCCAATTATGAATGTATAGTTCGAAATTCATGATTGCATGAGCTAATCAATGATTTTTTGTATTGTCCATTTCTACTCTGGCGATAAAGTATGCATATTCGAAAATCCTTGATTATCATTGACTGCATATACCTACGATTTTTTATCATTTTTGTCCGTTCCACCTAACAGGAATTAAGCATATGTACATCAAAATTTGCGATTTATAAGTTATAACCCATAATTTTTTTTCACTTCCATCCGCTTCGACTCAATAACCTATTCAAAATTTGTCATTTTCATAGGCTATATAACCCAAAAAAATTTCCTTCAAAATTATCAATTTCTACTCAACAGCTAAAAGTATGCATTTGAAAATTCTCAATTTTTGTAGAATATAATCTTATGATTTTTGATCATTTTTCTCTATTTGGATCCAAGGGGAAATAAATGTGTATTACAATTTGTGATTTAATGGGCTATAATCCATAGTTTTAATCTGCTTATTTCTGCTTTGACTCAACAACAAATAAATATGTTTTCTTTAGATTTAGTGACTTTTATGGATCGTAAACCGCGATTTTTGTCTATTTCAACTTAAGGGTAATTAAGTACATATAGTTCAAACTTCGCAATTTTATGGGTTATAACCCATGATTATTGTTTATTACTCACCATATTGACTCAATGTCGATAAAGTAAGCATGTTAGGAAATTTCAATTTTCATGAACTATAACCAATAATTTTTATCATTTTTGTCTATTTTGGCCTAATGGGAATTAGTATGACTGCATCAAAATTTGTGATTTTATAAGCTATAATTCATAATGTTTACCTTTCCCCATTTTGACTCAATAGGTCCGAGGCGTGACAATTTTTGTCTATTTTAACTCAAGGACAGTTAAGTACACGTAGTTTAAAATTTGCAATTTCATGAGCTATAACTCATGATTTTTGTTTGTTATTGTCCATTTCTACTCGATGGTGATAACATATGCATAATTGAAAATTGGAGAAAATTTTAAAACCAACCATTTTTAAAAATTAATAGGCAAAATCGACCTAAACTGAAAAATATTAGCAAAACCGACCCTTTTCAGAAGAAAAGGGTCGGTTTTGCAGCGGAGGGTCTTTTGCGAAGTGCACGGGACTGCTAGTCCCGTGCACTTGGTGTTCCAGCAGTTGCTCTCTGCTTAAAAGTACACCAAGTGCACGGGGCTAGCAGTCCCGTGCACTTGGTCCAAAAATCACATCCCTAAATAGTTTTGTAATGTATATAACCTGTAGTTTACATACATCCAAGAACTCTCCTCCTCCTCCTTTGTCTTCGTCGTCCTCCATACCGCCCTTCGACGAGTTCGTGATCCGGTTGCGTTTGTGGTTGTGACGGTCCAGCTCCATCGTCGACACGTTGGGAAGGTCCAGCTTCATCGTTATTTCTGCGTCGTCCTCGACTTTGTCGCTGTTGTCGTGTATATACGAATGGCGTTACCTCCCGTCCATCATGACGATCTTCGTGAGTTCGGTGTAAGGCTTGTTGAAGCCTCTGCATTATAGCTTGATATATTGATACATGTTCATGTGCTTCGGGATTTCTACCAGCGATGGATAGTTCAAAAACAAAATTTCATATTAAATTTGATATTACAGAATGTAAATTTGAGATTTAATTTTATCGTACCTGCTCGAGCCAATTCCAAGCCACGATTTGCAAGAGTTTGAACTTCATCTATTGCTGATACCTGTAAATTTTTCAACACATAAAGTACCAATAAAAATGGACTTAAATCAAAATATGAAAATACTTACTAATTCTCTCTCATCTATACCCCGGGGCACATATCCTCTTTGCGACTCAACCGGTATTGTGATCGAATGAAGTATCCATCTTTGGGTTATGTCCCAATACCAAGTGTAGTAATCTGATTCCCGAGGAGTTGGTTCAATTTGGTTGATAATACAAAAATGCATATCATTCCATCTGTGTATAAAAGCTTGATGCACGATCATCCAGTTTATTTGTTGGCCTCCTTTCTTTGCCTTCCTCTCTATCTTTTCAACAAACTACGGAACATGTTGTGCACGACCATATTGTCGAAGCACGCAGTCCGGTACATGTATTTTTACTATCTCCAAACATATAAAAGGAACTCTAGCTCTCCATACAACTTGGTATTCTGTGCATATTGGGGGTAGCTGAGGTAGAAATTGGGTGGCTCTCCATACAACTTGGTATTCTGTGCATATTGGGGGTAGCTGAGGTAGAAATTGGGTGTAGGGCTCCCATTCCATCTATAGAGGTAGAAATTGGGTGTAGGGCTCCCATTCCATCTACAATAATTTAATGCAGTTGCATATCAGAATTGAGTTTTCAGTATGTAGAAGAAAAAGCGCATGTTTTTCGGTGAGAATTACCTGAAAAATCTTCATACGATCAAGTTCATTCCGGTAGAAATCCAATTGTCTAGCCGGGGTCTCGTCATAGCATTTTTCGACATTCCATCTACAAAAAAATGTTTGTCATACATTTAGTACCACAATGATAACTACAATTATATTCGCTACATAAAAAATACAATACCTGCATCCCAGTGGAATTTGTCCATCAATTGTAAATGTGTGCATAGTCTCGGCTTCAAATGAAGTCTCTCCCATGCCTATACTTGCAATAAGCTTAGACACCCTTTAAGCTCACTGTTTTGCATAAGTGCCACTTTTGACATCTCTCTATATAAATACGCCAAAACAGCACTACCCCACGATTTTGTATCACATACGTCCAAGTCCTCGAGGAGTGGTAACCACCTAGCATATTCACAATATTCCAATTTATTAAAATAAGCTAATTCAATGAAAAACAGATTCATATTATAAATACACATACCTCGCATGCACTTTATTTTTACTTGAATCTGGAAATAATATAGTACCAATCATGTGCATAATGTATGCACGTGCATGTTGGTCAACCAAAATTTGTGGGGCATCAACAAGCAACGGTACTGAGAAGGTCTCTCTCAACCACTTCAACTTAATAGTTCCTCTAGGCATAGTCTCTGGAGCTACACCTAACAACTCCTCACATCTTCGAGGCCATACATCACTATCAGTGCCGGTAATGCACGGACCATCTATACGGAGACCGAGTATCACGGCTACATCTTGTAGAGTAATGGTAGCATCGCCTATCCGGAAGTGGAAAGTATTGGTCTCAGGTCTCCATCTATCCATCAACGTGATCAGTAGGGGCCAATCGAGCTTTATCCAACGAAGCTTTGAACAAGTCAAGAAGCCGGCCCGTCCCACAGCTGCTATGATACGCTCATCCTCTAACCGCCAACGGCTATGGCTGAGGCTATGATCAACCACAAGGTTGCTGATAGCGGATCGCGTCGCGTCGCGGCGAGGTACCGCTAAGGCTATATCGGGCTATTGCGGTAAAATCGCGGCAAATAGCGCACAGTCAAATAGCGGTCAAATTTAAATATATTTAAATATCCTAAATAATAAGAAAATTCATAATAAATCTAAAAATTCTACAAATACATAATTGATGCCTAAACATGAAATATATGTGTAATAATTACATACTATTAACAACGTACTATAATTATAAAGATTAAAGAATGAAAAACGTACCTGTTTATCCAAAAGACCGTTATTTGTCCCATTTTTTCAACTTTCAAGTCTAATATGAAAATACTCAACAATAAAAAAGCATGATTAGTAAGTTAGTAATATCCTCCAACTGCTTGTTTTTCTTTATGTGAAATAGTACGTGAATTCTACAACCATTTAACTAAGAGAACTTCAAGACCTCCTGCCTTCCAGTTCTTTTCATGTACTATTTCATGTAAATTACTAAATTGTACTAAAATCAGTGTTGGAGACAGAGGATTTAGTATTCAACTCAAAGATGACCGTAAAGACAATACAATTTGAACGATTAAACATAGAAAATTGTAAAATTTCATAATAATTTTAGGTGGACAAAATATGAAAAATAAAAACGAACACATAATAGAAAAAAAACAATAATCAATAATAAAGAAGATCAAAAGTTTCATACCTGATTATTTGTTAACTGTCCAATTTTGCAGCCAAAAGGGGACTATAGTAGTATGGTGAGCGAGTATATATTACTAACTTGGATCGGGTGACAGGGGAAAAAATTCAAACTAATTAACTCTCTCCCTTAATTATATTTTCTAACTTAAATCTCCTAATGGAGCTCTGACGACGGGCGGGATGAGACGAACTGGCGGAGGGCGGCGGGATCTCGGGATCTGGAGTAGGGTAGGGCGGCTAGGCAGGTTGGTGGCGGTCGACGACGAAAGGAGCTCTGACGACGAGGGTCGCTGGTGCTGGTGGAAGCCTCGGCTGGAAGGAGGCGTTGATGCTGGTGCTGGAGGCG